GCAGCAACATACGCAGCAACATACGCAGCAACATACGCAGCAACATACACAGCAACATACGCTGCAACATACGCTGTAACATACACTACAACATACATTACAACATACACTACAACATACACTGCAACATACTCAGCAACATACACTGCAACATACGCAGCAACATACGCAGCAACATACACTGCAACATACGCAGCAACATACACTGCAACATACGCAGCAACATACACTACAACATACACTGCAACATACGCAGCAACATACACTGCAACATACGCAGCAACATACGCAGCAACATACGCAGCAACATACATAGGGGCCTCGTAGCCTGGTGGATAGCGCGCAGGACTCGTAATTCTGTGGCGCGGGTTCGATTCCCACACGAGGCAGAAACAAATGGGCAAAGTTTCTTTCACCCTAAGTGCCCCTGTTACCTAGCAGTAAATAGGTACCTGGGAGTTAGTCAGCTGTCACGGGCTGCTTCCTGGGGTGTGTGTGTGTGTGTGTGTGTGTGTGTACTCACCTAATTGTACTCACCTAATTGTGCTTGCGGGGGTTGAGCTCTGGCTCTTTGGTCCCGCCTCTCAACCGTCAATCAACTGGTGTACAGATTCCTGAGCCTATTGGGCTCTATCATATCTACATTTGAAACTGTGTATGGAGTCAGCCTCCACCACATCACTTCCTAATGCATTCCATTTACTAACTACTCTGACACTGAAAAAGTTCTTTCTAACGTCTCTGTGGCTCATTTGGGTACTCAGCTTCCACCTGTGTCCCCTTGTTCGCGTCCCACCAGTGTTGAATAGTTCATCCTTGTTTACCCGGTCGATTCCCCTGAGGATTTTGTAGGTTGTGATCATGTCCCCCCTTACTCTTCTGTCTTCCAGTGTCGTGAGGTGCATTTCCCGCAGCCTTTCCTCATAACTCATGCCTCTTAGTTCTGGGACTAGTCTAGTAGCATACCTTTGGACTTTTTCCAGCTTCGTCTTGTGCTTGACAAGGTACGGGCTCCATGCTGGGGCCGCATACTCCAGGATTGGTCTTACATATGTGGTGTACAAGATTCTGAATGATTCCTTACACAGGTTCCTGAACGCCGTTCTGATGTTAGCCAGCCTCGCATATGCCGCAGACGTTATTTTCTTTATGTGGGCTTCAGGAGACAGGTTTGGTGTGATATCAACTCCTAGATCTTTCTCTCTGTCTGTTTCATTAAGTACTTCATCTCCTATTCTGTATCCTGTGCCTGGCCTCCTGTTTCCACTTCCTAGTTTCATTACTTTGCATTTACTCGGGTTGAACTTCAACAGCCATTTGTTGGACCATTCACTCAGTCTATCCAGGTCATCTTGTAGCCTCCTACTATCATCCTCTGTTTCAATCCTCCTCATAATTTTTGCATCGTCGGCAAACATTGAGAGGAACGAATCTATACCCTCTGGGAGATCATTTACATATACCAGAAACAGTATAGGTCCAAGGACTGACCCCTGCGGGACTCCACTTGTGACGTCTCGCCAATCTGAGACCTCACCCCTCACACAGACTCGTTGTCTCCTGTTGCTTAGGTATTCCTCTATCCACCGGAGTACCTTCCCTCTCACTCCAGCCTGCATCTCCAACACACACACACACACACATGTGTGTGTGTGTGTGTGTGTGTGTGTGTGTGTGTGTGTGTGTGTGTGTGTGTGTGTGTGTGTGTGTGTGTGTGTGTGTGTGTGTGTGTGGTGTGAAAAAAAAAAAAAAAAAAAAGTAGTTAGTAAACAGTTGATTGACAGTTGAGAGGCGGGCCGAAAGAGCAAAGCTCAACCCCCGCAAAAACACAACTAGTAAACACACTACAACATACTCAGCAACATACACTGCAACATACGCAGAAACATACTCAGCAACATACGCTGCAACATTCACTACAACATACGCTGCAACATACGCAGCAACATACGCTGCAACATTCACTACAACATACGCAGCAACATACGCAGCAACATACTCTATAACATACGCAGCAACATACGCTGCAACATACTCAGCAACATACACTACAACATACGCAGCAACATACACTACAACATACGCAGCAACATACTCAGCAACATACACTACAACATACACTACAACATACGCAGCAACATACTCAGCAACATACTCAGCAACATACTCAGCAACATACGCAGCAACATACGCAGCAACATACTCAGCAACATACGCAGCAACATACGCAGCAACATACTCAGCAACATACTCAGCAACATACTCAGCAACATACGCAGCAACATACTCAGCAACATAGCAACATATGCAGCAACATACACTACAACATACACTACAACATACGCAGCAACATACTCAGCAACATACGCAGCAACATACTCAGCAACATACGCAGCAACATACTCAGCAACATACGCAGCAACATAGCAACATATGCAGCACATACACTACAACATACACTACAACATACGCAGCAACATACGCAGCAACATATGCAGCAACATACTCAGCAAGATACACTACAACATACGCAGCAACATAGCAACATACGCAGCAACATACTCAGCAACATACGCAGCAACATAGCAACATACGCAGCAACATAGCAACATACGCAGCAACATCTGGCACAGAGCAGGTTTGCTTCAACAAGCCCACCAATAGAGCGGCCCGTGTATAATAGGATCCCTGGTCTATATAACCCGGATGTAATGGTCCATAAACCATATATATGAGAGGCAGCTGACAGTGGGAGGCGCGCGGGGCTGACGTGACGGCTCCTTACTCTCTACTGTCAGCCGCTAGACAGTCCAGGAGGGCGTCAGCTGCTTCAGTCGTCAGCCCTGTCTCATTGTCAGCCGTGTATGGGGTTGTCAGCAGAGTGTGTGTGTGGGGTTGTCAGCTGTGTGTGTGTGGGGTTGTCAGCTGTGTATGGGGTTGTCAGCAGTGTGTGTGTGTGGGGTTGTCAGCTGTGTGTGTGTGTGTGGGGTTGTCAGCTGTGTGTGTGGGGTTGTCAGCTGTGTGTGTGGGGTTATCAGCTGTGTGTGTGTGTGGGGTTGTCAGCAGTGTGTGGGGTTGTCAGCTGTGTATGGGGTTGTCAGCAGTGTGTGTGTGTGGGGTTGTCAGCTGTGTGTGTGTGTGGGGTTGTCAGCTGTGTATGGGGTTGTCAGCAGTGTGTGTGTGTGGGGTTGTCAGCTGTGTGTGTGTGTGGGGTTGTCAGCTGTGTGTGTGGGGTTGTCAGCTGTGTGTGTGGGGTTGTCAGCTGTGTGTGTGTGTGGGGTTGTCAGCAGTGTGTGGGGTTGTCAGATGTGTGTGTGTGTGGGGTTGTCAGCTGTGTATGGGGTTGTCAGCAGTGTGTGTGGGTGGGTTGTCAGCTGTGTGTGTGTGTGGGGTTGTCAGCAGTGTGTGGGGTTGTCAGCTGTGTGTGTGTGGGGTTGTCAGCTGTGTGTGTGGTTGTCAGCTGTGTGTGTGGGGTTGTCAGCAGTGTGTGTGTGTGGGGTTGTCAGCTGTGTGTGTGTGTGTGGTTGTCAGCAGTGTGTGTGTGTGGGGTTGTAAGCAGTGTGTGTGTGTGGGGTTGTCAGCAGTGTGTGTGTGTGGGGTTGTCAGCAGTGTGTGTGTGTGGGGTTGTCAGCAGTGTGTGTGTGTGGGGTTGTCAGCAGTGTGTGTGTGTGGGGTTGTCAGGTGTGTGTGTGGGGTTGTCAGCTGTGTGTGGGGTTGTCAGCTGTGTGTGTGTGTGGGGTTGTCAGCAGTGTGTGTGTGTGGGGTTGTCAGGTGTGTGTGTGGGGTTGTCAGCTGTGTGTGTGTGTGGGGTTGTCAGGTGTGTGTGTGGGGTTGTCAGCTGTGTGTGGGGTTGTCAGCTGTGTGTGTGTGTGGGGTTGTCAGGTGTGTGTGTGGGGTTGTCAGCTGTGTGTGGGGTTGTCAGCTGTGTGTGTGTGTGGGGTTGTCAGGTGTGTGTGTGGGGTTGTCAGCAGTGTGTGGGGTTGTCAGCTGTGAGTGTGGAGTTGTCAGCAGTGTGTGGGGTTGTCAGCTGTGTGTGTGGTTGTCAGCTGTGTGTGTGGGGTTGTCAGCTGTGTGTGGGGTTGTCAGCAGTGTGTGGGGTTGTCAGCTGTGTGTGTGGGGTTGTCAGCTGTGTGTGTGGGGTTGTCAGCTGTGTGTGTGGTTGTCAGCTGTGTGTGTGGGGTTGTCAGCAGTGTGTGGGGTTGTCAGCAGTGTGTGGGGTTGTCAGCTGTGTGTGTGGGGTTGTCAGCAGTGTGTGGGGTTGTCAGCTGTGTGTGTGTGTGGGGTTGTCAGCTGTATGTGTGTGAGTGGTTGTCAGGTGTGTGTGTGTGTGGTTGTCAGCTGTGTGTGTGTGTGGTTGTCAGCTGTGTGTGTGTGTGGTTGTCAGCTGTGTGTGTGTGGGGTTGTCAGCTGTGTGTGTGTGGGGTTGTCAGATGTGTGTGGGGTTGTCAGCTGTGTGTGGGGTTGTCAGCTGTGTGTGGGGTTGTCAGATGTGTGTGTGGTTGTCAGATGTGTGTGTGGGGTTGTCAGCTGTGTGTGGAGTTGTCAGCTGTGTGTGTGTGTGGTTGTCAGGTGTGTGTGGGGTTGTCAGGTGTGTGTGTGGGGTTGTCAGGTGTGTGTGAGGGGTTGTCAGCTGTGTGTGGGGTTGTCAGATGTGTGTGGGGTTGTCAGTTGTGTGTGTGGTTGTCAGATGTGTGTGGAGTTGTCAGCTGTGTGTGTGGGGTTGTCAGCTGTGTGTGTGGGATTGTCAGCTGTGTGTGTGTGGGGTTGTCAGCTGTGTGTGTGTGTGGTTGTCAGGTGTGTGTGGGGTTGTCAGGTGTGTGTGTGGGGTTGTCAGGTGTGTGTGAGGGGTTGTCAGCTGTGTGTGTGTGTGTGTGGTTGTCAGGTGTGTGTGGGGTTGTCAGGTGTGTGTGTGGGGTTGTCAGGTGTGTGGGGTTGTCAGGTGTGTGTGTGGGGTTGTCAGGTGTGTGTGGGGTTGTCAGCTGTGTGTGGGGTTGTCAGGTATGAGGGTCGTCAACACAGGAGGTCGTCAACACAGGAGGTCGTCAACACAGGAGGTCGTCAACACAGGAGGTCGTCAACACGGGAGGTCGTCAACACAGGAGGTCGTCAACACAGGAGGTCGTCAACACAGGAGGTCGTCAACACGGGAGGTCGTCAACACAGGAGGTCAACACAGGAGGTCGTCAACACAGGAGGTCAACACAGGAGGTCGTCAACACAGGAGGTCGTCAACACAGAAGGTCGTCAACACAGGAGGTCGTCATCACAGAAGGTCGTCAACACGGGAGGTCGTCAACACAGAAGGTCGTCAACACCGGAGGTCGTCAACACAGGAGGTCAACACAGGAGGTCGTGAACACAGGAGGTCGTCAACACAGAAGGTCGTCAACACAGGAGGTCGTCAACACGGGAGGTCGTCAACACGGGAGGTCGTCAACACAGGTCGTCAACACGGGAGGTCGTCAACACAGGAGGTCGTCAACACGGGAGGTCGTCAACACAGAAGGTCGTCAACACAGAAGGTCGTCAACACAGGAGGTCGTCAACACGGGAGGTCGTCAACACAGGAGGTCGTCAACACAGGAGGTCGTCAACACAGGAGGTCAACACAGGAGGTCGTCAACACAGGAGGTCGTCAACACGGGAGGTCGTCAACACAGGAGGTCGTCAACACAGGAGGTCGTCAACACAGGAGGTCGTCAACACGGGAGGTCGTCAACACAGGAGGTCGTCAACACAGGAGGTCGTCAACACGGGAGGTCGTCAACACAGGAGGTCGTCAACACAGGTCGTCAACACAGGAGGTCGTCAACACAGGAGGTCAACACAGGAGGTCGTCAACACAGGAGGTGGTCAACACGGGAGGTCGTCAACACAGAAGGTCGTCAACACAGGAGGTCGTCAACACAGGAGGTCGTCAACACAGGAGGTCGTCAACACAGGAGGTCGTCAACACAGGAGGTCAACAACACAGGAGGTCGTCAACACAGGAGGTCGTCAACACAGGAGGTCAACAACACAGGAGGTCGTCACCACACGAGGTCGTCAACACAGGAGGTCAACACAGGAGGTCGTCAACACAGGAGGTCGGCAACACAGGAGGGCGTCAACACAGGAGGTCAACACAGGAGGTCGTCAACACGGGAGGTCGTCAACACAGGAGGTCGTCAACACAGGGGGTCGTCAACACAGGAGGTCGTCAACACAGGAGGTCGTCAACACAGGAGGTCGTCAACACAGGAGGTCGTCAACACAGGAGGTCGTCAACACAGGAGGTCGTCAACACAGGAGGTCGTCAACACAGGAGGTCGTCAACACAGGAGGTCAACACAGGAGGTCGTCAACACAGGAGGTCAACACAGGAGGTCGTCAACACAGGAGGGCGTCAACACAGGAGGTCAACACAGGAGGTCAACACAGGAGGTCGTCAACACAGGAGGTCGTCAACACAGGAGGTCGTCAACACAGGAGGTCGGAGGTCAACACAGGAGGTCGTCAACACAGGAACACAGGAGGTCGTCAACACAGGAGGTCGTCAACACAGGAGGTCGTCAACACAGGAACACAGGTCGTCAACACAGAAGGTCGTCAACACAGGAGGTCGTCAACACAGGAGGTCGTCAACACAGGAGGTCGTCAACACAGGAGGTCGTCAACACAGGAGGTCGTCAACACAGGAGGTCGTCAACACAGGAGGTCAACACAGGAGGTCGTCAACACAGGAGGTCGTCAACACAGGAGGTCGTCAACACAGGAGGTCGTCAACACAGGAGGTCGTCAACACAGGAGGTCGTCAACACAGGAGGTCGTCAACACAGGAGGTCGTCAACACAGGAGGTCGTCAACACAGGGTCGTCAACACAGGAGGTCGTCAACACAGGTCGTCAACAGGAGGTCGTCAACACAGGTCGTCAACACAGGAGGTCGTCAACACAGGAGGTCAACACAGGTCGTCAACACAGGAGGTCGTCAACACAGGAGGTCGTCAACACAGGAGGTCGTCAACACAGGAGGTCGTCAACACAGGAGGTCGTCAACACAGGAGGTCGTCAACACAGGAGGTCGTCAACACAGGAGGTCAACACAGGTCGTCAACACAGGAGGTCGTCAACACAGGAGGTCGTCAACACAGGAGGTCGTCAACACAGGAGGTCGTCAACACAGGAGGTCGTCAACACCTCCGCGCTGTCAACAAGGTCTCAGGTAATAATTATCTGTCAACCATTTGTTGACGTAGAGGCCACAGCAGGTCCCCGTACCTGGCGCTGATTGGCCGCCGTCAGCACCCGGCTTCACGCCACTTCAGCAGGCTTCAACGGCTGACTTGGCTTTAATGGCTGACTTGGCTTTAATGGCTGACTTGGCTTTAATGGCTGACTTGGCTTCAATGGCTGACTTGGCTTTAATGGCTGACTTGGCTTTAATGGCTGACTTGGCTTTAATGGCTGACTTGGCTTCAATGGCTGACTTGGCTTCAACAGTTGACTTGGTTGACAATAGAGTGTTGCAACCAAAACTGTACCTGGCGTTTACCTGTGGAGGGTCTCGGGAGTTCTCCTGCTCCGCAAGCCAGACCCGAGGCCAGGCTCGACTTGTGATGATCCACCAGGCTGTTGCTTGCAGTGGCCCGCAGGCCCATATATCCACTACAGCACTGTAGTGGGGGAGGGAGCACCGCACCGGGGGGGAACGGTGGCCGAGCGGACAGCACGCTGGGCACGTGATCCTGTGGTCCAGGGTACGGTCCCGAGCACTGGCTAGAAACCATGGGCAGAGTTTCTTTCACCCTATGCCCCTGATACCTAGCAGTAAAAATAGGTACCTGGGAGTTAGTCAGCTGTCACGGGCTGCTTCCTGGGTGTGTGTGTGTGGTATGTCGGAAAAAATATAGTAGTAGTAGAGACAGTTGATTGACAGTTGAGAGGCGGGCCGAAAGAGCAGAGCTCAACCCCCGCAAACACAACTAGGTGAGTACTGTTGTCTGGTCAGGGAGGGGCGTGAGGGGGGGGGTGAAGGAGAGGGGGGGAGGTGGGTGACAGTGAGAGATGATGGGGAGAGAAGGAAATGAAAGATGATAGAAGAAAATGAGTCAGCGAGGGATGAAGGAGGGGAGGGAGAGGGGGGGTAAGGAAACGGACGAGAGAGAGAGAGAGAGAGAGAGAGAGAGAGAGAGAGAGAGAGAGAGAGAGAGAGAGAGAGAGAGAGAGAGAGAGAGAGAGAGAGAGAGAGAGAGAGAGAGAGAGAGAGAGACAGACAGACAGACAGACAGACAGACAGACAGACAGACAGACAGACAGACAGACAGACAGACAGACAGACAGAGAGAGAGAGAGAGAGAGAGAGAGAGAGAGAGAGAGAGAGAGAGAGAGAGAGAGAGAGAGACAGAGAGAGAGACAGAGAGACAGATAGACAGACAGACTGAGACTTCAAGTCGTCATACTTATATATTAACTTTTCGTACCACAGCAATAGTTATCAAGTGTATCTAGTCGTAAGAAGTCGTAAGAGGTCGTAAGAAGTCGTGGATATCGTAAGATGTGGTGGAGACCCGAGCTGCCAGCCGCGATGGATTAAATCTTTCAACTTTATCCTTTCCAGATGTATTCAAACTCCAAGCACATCGCACTCGATCCAAGTCATCACTCTCAATATCCATCAACGGATAATTACCATCAATTCCACCCCATTTTCCTCCTACTTATACCAATTTCATTTCAAATTCTGGCTTATTAATCCCCACTTAAATCGAGGGCCAATTCCAGGTGCATTTGGGTCAGATATTGCAAGTTGTTTAAGTGATCAGTGTTGCAATAGAGGGTTGCACACCACAGGAATTACATTACTGTGTATCATGGTACCTGGCCTGATGCAGTATAGGGTGTACCTGGTGGCCTGATGCAGTACAAGGTGTACCTGGTGGCCTGATGCAGTATAGGGTGTACCTGGTGGCCTGATGCAGTACAAGGTGTACCTGGTGGCCTGATGCAGTACAAGGTGTACCTGGTGGTGGCCTGATGCAGTACAAGGGAGCAGCCCCAGGTCCCAGCAGGCATTTATACGTTCCTTTGCGAAACCTGTGCATCTTTTCTATATTATCTGGGGTATGAACTTCGAAGGACAACGAGTCTGTCTGTAAGGACACTAACCAAGATTGATCAAGTTTTAATGCTCGTAAATCGCCTTAGGTACAGAGTAGACCGCCATGATCGATACAAGATATAGAGGTTTCGTAGACACGTAAATGATTGATGAATATTGGCCTGGACCAAACACACACACACACACACACACACAACACACACACACACACACACACACACACACACACACACACACACACACACACACACAGCTTCAAGTGTAGATATGATAGAGCCCAGTAAGCTCAGGAACCTGTACACCAGTTGATTGACAGTTGAGAGGCGGGACCAAAGAGCCAAAGCTCAACCCCCGCAAGCACAACTAGGTGAGTATAACTAGGTGAGTACACACAGTGAGTAACTGTGTGTACAGTAATTGCTACGGTGAGTACCGTAGCAGCTGTCTAACGCCCAGAAACCCATTTACTGCTAGGTGAACAGACGCATAAGGTGAAAGGAAACACTGCCAAATCAAATTGTTTCTGTCACGTTTGTGAGTGGTAGGCGTTCACCACCAGAGCACGATATCCCCTCCCCCCCCCCTCCCTCTCTCTCTCTCTCTCTCTCTCTCTCTCTCTCTCTCTCTCTCTCTCTCTCTCTCTCTCTCTCTCTCTCTCCTCTCTCTCTCTCTCTCTCTCTCTCTCTCTCTCTCTCTCTCTCTCTCTCTCTCTCTCCTCGTCTCTCTCTCTCTCTCTCTCTCTCTCTCTCTCTCTCTCTCTCTCTCTCTCCTCGTCTCTCTCTCTCTCTCTCTCTCTCTCTCTCTCTCTCTCTCTCTCTCTCTCTCTCTCTCCTCTCTCTCTCTCTCTCTCTCTCTCTCTCTCTCTCATCTCTCTCTCTCTCTCTCTCTCTCTCTCTCTCTCTCTCTCTCTCTCTCTCTCTCCCTCCTCTCCTCTCCTCCCCCTCCCTGTGCTCGTTAACAGGTCCTCCAATTGCCATCTGGGAAGTACTTGAGGCGACAATCAATCAGCTTAAACACATGGCCCCACGAGGCGCTCTCAAGGCGGGCCCTGACTGCCTACAGCCTCCTCACTCCCACTCAAGTCCCACTCCAGCCCCGTCACTCACCCTCAGCTCCCGAGGAGAGCGCTCAAGACTCCACACACCCTCAGACCTCTACACGACCACTCAGGTCTGGAAGGCTCCTCTTCTGAGTGTTCCTGTCTCGGAGGGCATGCAGCATGACCTTGAAAAAGATGGGCGGTGGCTGCTTGCAAGGATGGTGCAAGGGTGGTGGTGAGGGGGTCGTGGTGGTGGTGGTGGTGGTGGTGGTGGTGGTGGTGGTGGTGAGGGGGGGTCGTGGTGGTGGTGGTGGTGGTGGTGGTGGGGGGGGGGGGTCGTTGTGGGGGGGAGGTGGTTGGGGGGGTCGTTGTGGGGGGGGGGTGGTGGGGGGGGTCGTTGTGGTGGGGGGAAGGGGAGGAGGTGCTGTGCAGACCTATTAGTGTCTACTGGGAAGTGAGGTCTAGCTCTTCACCCCCAGCCTGACAGTCTTACTGCTTCTGTTGCCTCGTAGATAAATTATTCTGACATTCAACTCTGGCCTTAATGTTGGTGTATGGAGGTGGCTTCCACAACCTCTTCTCTCAGAGCACTCCACTTGCTGACTGCCCGAACACCCTACGAGCACTTCCGTACATTTCTAGAGTCGTTGGAGTTTCCAGCTTCCACCTACAGTCACGGGTGAGGTGTCGAGCTCAGAAATGTAACAAGTGGGGTCCCACAAGGCTCAGTCCTGGGACCAATGCTGTTCCTAATTCATGTGACCGACCCGCCCGAGGGAGTGAGCTCAGTCATGTCAATGGTTGCAGATTATACAAAGCTGATGAACAACGTGAAGACATCTGAGGACGGCAGGAAGTTACAGGAGGGCCTTGACAAACTCCAGGAGTGGTCAAACAAATGGTTCCTGGAATTCAATTATAATAAGTGTAAGGTAATGCAGGTTGGGATATGGAGAGAGGAGACCAGGCGGCAGCTACACCATAAGGGGAAGGCAGCTACAGGAATAAGAGAGAGAGAGAGAGAGAAGGATCTGGTAGTGGCTATAGTTCCAACACACACACCGGAGACACACATAAACTGGATAACATCAGCAGCATATGGGATGCTGGCTAACAATAGAACGTTACCTGGTTGATACCTGGTTGATGGGGTTCTGGGAGTTCTTCTACTCCCCAAGCCCGGCTCGAGGCCAGGCTTGACTTGTGAGAGTTTGGTCCACCAGGCTGTTGCTTGGAGCGGCCCGCAGGCCCACATATACCTGGTTGATGGGGTTCTGGGAGTTCTTCTACTCCCAAAGCCCGGCCCGAGGCCAGGCTTGACTTGTGAGAGTTTGGTCCACCAGGCTGTTGCTTGGAGCGGCCCGCAGGCCCACATACCCACGACAGTTCGGTTGGTCCGGCACTCCTTGAAGAAAACTATCTAGTTTCCTCTTGAAGATGTCCACGGTTGTTCCGGCAATATTTCTTATGCTCGCTGGGAGGACGTTGAACAACCGCGGACCTCTGATGTTTATACAGTGTTCTCTGATTGTGCCTATGGCACCTCTGCTCTTCACTGGTTCTATTCTGCATTTTCTTCTATATCGTTCACTCCAGTATGTTATTATTTTACTGTGTAGATTTGGGACCTGTCCCTCCAGTATTTTCCACGTGTATATTATTTGGTATCTCTCTCGTCTTCTTTCTAGCGAGTACATTTGGAGAGCTTTGAGTCGATCCCAATAATTTAGATGCTTTACCTCGTTTATGTATCCCGTACATGTTCTCTGTATTCCCTCTATTTCAGCAATCTCTCCTGCTCTGAGGGGGGAAGTGAGTACTAAACAGTACTCAAAACGGGACAACACAAGTGACTTGAAGAGTACAACCATTGTGGTGGGATCCCTGGATTTGAAAGTTCTCGTAATCCATCCTATCATTTTTCTGGTTATGCTAATATTTGCTTGGTTATGCTCCCTAAACGTTAGGTCGTCAGACATTATTATTCCCAAATCCTTGACATGTTGCTTTCCTACTATGGGCAAAGCTACGTTTATAAATCTGCACAACCTTGGGTAGGCCAATACTGGAATAGGCTGAACCTCCTTGGAATTC